CAACTCGTTTGCAGCCCTAATCACATAGTATGTGTCAGTATATCAGATCATGGGTACTGATGCCTACACGAATAGAGTGGAATGAAATTTACAAGTATCATAAAAATGTATTCATAAAGGAAGCCCTTGTAACATATTTTATGTTGCCTTTTCAATATATTATCTTTTTTTTTCTTTTAAATTAGAATATGCATTTTATTGAAAGAAATGTTTTGTTCATTTAATGGAATAAATTGCCTATGCCTAATTACAACAAATCTAGTGAGAGACCCACCAATGAAGTTAGGGGGGGTAATGCAACCATGTGCATGCATATGGTAGTTAGCCCTTATAATCCCAACCCCACCACCCCTTTCTCTGTCATTTCCAAACTCCAAAACCCTTTGAAAAATACAATTAAGATTAAGACATATCCACTTTTATTATTTATATTTAATTAGCATTCGCAATAGCTACATACACAACTTTGGAGTTCGAATATCTCAAATTCTTGTATGAGACGGTCAAATTGTTATGCCGGTTGATTCGTCATACTTTCAACAAAATATATATTTATGCTTATACAAATTTTCCCGAAGAAAAATATTCAATATTCTTAATCCATATTTATGACTTCACATGTCACAAAACACGAATATTTACATAGTCAAAAAAGAAAACCTTTAGATCATATAATTCGAATCCTAAATCTAAATTCAAAGTCTTTGATGACATTTTTCTTCTACATAAAATAATGTTTAATTCCATGTGATTGGTCAAATTAATTATCCACATATAATGGCCGCCCATTCTCAATCCCCCTTCTTGTGATTCGAACTAAAATTATCCACATAATTTATGGTGTCACCATTTTGATTTATTATATACAAAAGTATCTTTAATTTATTGTGATCCCCCACCCCCACCCCACCCCATCCCCACCCACCCCACCCCACCCCCTACACGTTTACACACTCACCACCATTGGTTATAAAGAGAACCCTCGTGTAATAAGTTCCAACCTAAAACAAATTGAAGCTTCTTTTTTTATGTCCTTATCATTTAAAGAACCTAATTAAAGGCCACACATAGCCACCACTCTCTCTATAGAACCTCAAAACCCTAAAGAAGAAAAAAACAACCTTTCTTATTACATCATCATCATCTTTTCTCCCTCACTTTTCTCTTCTCAACAATGAAGAAAACAAGCTCAAACCCTAGCCCCATCGAAGCCCGGTTGGCTCTCAACTTTCTCCGGGCCATCAAGAAAATCGCGAGCAACCCACGAAAACCGTCCTCGGCCCACAAAACCAAGAGGCCGCATGAAATCCGGGCCGCGGCCTATGCATCCATGGCTTCCGTGGCCGGCCCAAACAAGGCGTGGAGTCGGGCCCTTCTCCGGAGTATCAAGAACCGCTGGAGGCAGCGGGCACAATGCGATCCGGCCCGAAACAATAGTATTGGTTTAGGGTGTGGTGGGCCCGAGAAGGATCTCCGGGAGCTAGTCCCAGGCGGCAAATCCCTGGACCTGGCGAAGCTGTTGAACGAAACGGGCCACTATATAAAGTGCCTTCGGGCCCAAGTGGAGGTCATGAGAAAGATTGCTGATTATTCTTCTTCTTCTTCTTCTTCAAAATGAATTTTATATGCATATATAGAATTAATTAATATTTGTTGAAAAGCAAGAAATACAGTATGAATATATATATACATATATGTATATGTATATGTGTGTGTATACATATGTATATATACTGTATATCTCTCAATGGGTATCATATATATCCAAGGGATTTTGTTTTATATTCTGGCCAGCTGGAGAGGATATATATATATATATAAATTTCTTTTCCCAATTTAAATTCCTAAATAAATATTGCCTAAAAAGAAAGATAATTAAAGCTCGTCTCAAGACGACATATAGGTTTTGATTATGTACCCTATATTGTAATTTTTATTCAATTATGATGATAAAGACATGTATTGGTGTATGTCTTAATTTATATATAGCATTGATGACAAGATTATAATTAATATAACCTGATCACAGTTATTGGTGTATGTTCTCTTGGTTATTATTGTGGTGTAAGAATCGTTAGACGGGTCGAATCTTCATACTCTTTCAAAAAAATGCTTACTTATGTTTATAATAAAAAATCTCCCTAATAAATATATATATCTATACTTATATAATAAAGAGCAATTATATTTACTAAAATTAGTAGCAAAAAAATAGGCCAGCATTTAATGTTATCCTTAAATAGTAGTTTTATTATTTTTCTTTAAAAAACATACAATTTAATTTATTAATACGCTTTAATATAATCGTACAATTTAATTTATAAAAACCATGCAATTTATTTTTTTCTTTAAAAATAATTTTTAATATATATATATATATATATATATATATATATATATTAAAAGCATTTTAAAAATAAGTTGCATGATTTATATATATAATAGCTTTTGTAATAAATTTGAATATAATGTGTTACTTAAATATCTAAACAATTTAAAAATTCAAATGTTTAAATTAATTGATAAACAATTTATAAATCTCTATTTTATTTAAATATCTAATTTTATTTAAAATAATTTTAAATATAACCAAATTTATTTAGAAAATCGTATCGATCCAACCAATTCAATCGACTGATGTTGATTCAATAGCAAATATTTTATTCAAGTGAACCAGACTGATTATAAACCTGTTCTCGGTCCATCCGGTCGGACTGTGTCCAACACGGTTTAATTTAAAAATAATGGGTAAATCTTGATTAATTTATTTGTATATTTAATTTATAATACAATCGTAATATTGTTTTTCTGTGCATCGCACAGGCCACGCAATAGTATTATATATTCACTGTTTTAGATTCTTGAATATTGGAAAAAGTGGTACTTGTAACGTGGAAATGGAAGCTGCAAAATCTATCTTGTCTTATTCGATTTTTTCTTTTTATTTTTTCATTTTTTTTTTTGGTGTACTTGCCAATTATATATTCAAATATATTATTAAGATATTAAAGACATAGCAGCTGCTTACTTTTACAACGTGCAGAATCACGCACACTACGAAAAATGTGAACAATACGGAAAATTCGTGTCTCCTCTGAGGACAGGGTTAATAATTGGATCTACACATATATCATGTCTCTTGATGAGGGCAGGGTTTAGTAGTTGAAGTTAGAGGTGGCCAAAACATGGGTCCAGCCGGAATCATGGACTTGGAATCGGCAGGGACCTAGGCTCATGTCGGGCCGGGCCGAGCCCAACACGAGTTTGAGCCCGTCCAGATAAAAAAGTAAAATTAAAAGAACAAACAAAATATGTGGTTTTTCCCGGGCTGGGCTGGGTCAACGGGCTGGCTGTTGGAATTGTTAGAAAGTTAATTAATTAAAATTATGTTTTGACTTTTTTTATGGTTGAAAATCTAATTCAAGTTAAATTAAAATGTGTAGAAAATTTTTATGTTTTGAATAGATACTCGTGGTGTATTTATTTATTTTTTTTCAAAATTGATTTTCATTGAGTGAAAAAAAATAAATGATTAAACTAGTCATTAATGGGCACATAATAGTGGTGGTGGGATTCGAATGGCCGAGAGATCTATCCCACATTGAACAACTAAATGAGAATAACTTTTTTTTATTGTTATAATAAAAGAATTGTAGAGGTCACAACAAAAATTAAAACTATGTACCAAGTGTTGGTGTTTGCTTCGATCACGCTAGTGCGTCTGTCGGCTGTCCCGGCTCTGCTCGGCTGGGCTCGACTTGAGTACGGTGACTTGAACCGTTGTACTAATTGGTATAGACAATTGTGTTGTTGGCTGGACTTGAATGGTCTAGGCCAAAAATACACCATCATATACATACTTGCTCCTCTGAAAAGAGTCACGCGTGCACAGTTTTTGACTTTGTTCTAGTTCGTCAGAGTTTTGAAGTTCAGTGTGCTACGACTTTGGAGACGAATTTTCGTTGTATTTTTTGGGACATGAAGCACATACCCGTCAGAATTACACGTACAGGGCGTATTTGTCTTGCAAAAAAAATATATTCCCGCCTCGACTAATACTCTCCCGCTTTCTCTTCTATTGTAATTTTAAATTTTTAATTTATATTGTAAATTTAAAAATAGTTGTCACATTCGAAATGAACCTTAAAATATTGGGGTCATTTAATTTCAATATTGTAAATCTATATTGCTAATATAGATTTAGTTCTTTGTCATTTTTGAATTATTGAATGAAGTGTAAAGTTCAACACAAGATGTTTTCTGCCGACCTGAAAATTATGAGTCAACTAATATTATTATCAAGATACGATCACCCACAAAATATTGACAGATCATATGCTTAAAAAGTGGTGTATCCCATACAAGAAAATGTGTGTTGGACATATACTAGACTTTTGAAAAATGAATAAATTAAAAACATATGTGATATAGCCAGCTAGATCGGCTCATTATGAGTTCGGTTTAGGAGATCGATCGGTTATTTATTTGAACGGTTAGATTCGAAATTAGGGTTTTCGAATGGTTGGGAGGATGAGCATCTAATAGGTATGTCTTATCGAGCCGTTTTTACAAAGTATTTCTTTATAGATGAAAACCAATAGCGAGGGCAATCCAGGAAAATAGATGAAAAATATAGGACGTCCAAAATCGAAAATTTGAAATTGCTAATTTCCCAACTAAGGTAAAATCACTTCACTTTGGCCAATTTTTAGTTCCATCAATGTTATTTTCTAACGAATCAAATCTAATCATCTAAATAAAGGAAATTTATAACTAAATCAGATTTCTTTGTAGAAACTCATAACTATGAAATGCTATTAATACCGTAATTATAGCACCAATACTAATCCATTGCAAAATTTTGTTACTAATGTATCAAATTCAAGTAGTGTCAAGGAAAGAAAAGCTATCTATAGAAGAAAAAAAGACCATATTAAAAGATCATCGAGAGATTTTCCCGATTTAGTTGGATTTTATTTGAATTCAAGAGCTCTTGTCCGATAGCATGGTGAAGACTTAACTCATTTCTCTATAAATTGAACTTCAACATATAGAAAATCATATTTCGGTTTATCATCTCTTGTGGTGCACTTAAAATCGTAAATTGAGCGTCGGAATGTTTATGCTGAAAGTCTCGGCTTCTATACTTTGCAGATCTTTAAAGTCGGGTCATGATCGAAAGGCGAATTTGTTGGTGCATCAACACAAAGGGAAAATAGATAAATAAATAAATAAATAAAAGGTCATAAATTATCTAATAATAAATTAATGAAGAATATATATTATCATATCATTTAACTAAAGTGACTCGCAAGCACTAAGCAGCTGGCACAATAGAATTTTGATTCATCTTAGATTATTAAGCCATTTAATACAATTTTCCATATCTTTTTTTCCAATTCCAAATCTTTCTAGAGTAATATATAAATTTCATTTAGTTATTATATTATGATATTGCATAATGTATACAGATAATTAACATTCATAAGAACACAGAAAGTTGTGGCGATTCCATGTGCTTGCATGTTATATATGCAGAAAACTATCACGCATGAAAACTATTTAATTGAACATATATGTGCGCCTAAAAAAAAAAAAAAGTGGTACATATTTTCTTGCAATCTACAATTTGTCGTTTGAAAAACATGTACATTATCATTATATATTTGCTTAGTAATTATAACCACTTCACATCATAATTACATTAACTTAAAACACAAATATCAGGGAGATGCTACGATGCCGTTACGGAACCATTCCGTCGAGGTTTGTAACTGTTAGATCAACTATCCCCGACGGTTACATGATGATCTAATGGTTACAAATCACAATGGAATGGTTTTGTAAATAATTACATAGATCCACCAATTATATGTATTATGTGAATGAAAAAAAAAAAAAAAA